CTCGTGGCTGGCACAGAAAATGACAGAGGATGGACACGCAGTGGCGCTCTTATCAGGCGAGATTACAGTGGAGCAGCGTATAGCAGTGCTCAACAGATTCCGAGACGGCAAAGAGAAGCTACTCATCACAACTAATGTCTGCGCCAGAGGCATAGATGTCGAGCAGGTATGAAAATTGCGCACGTGAAATGTGATCAGACGATAGCTTGGTTGCCGATTCTCTGCTTTGGGTGATGCATGATTGAAAAACTCAAGTCTAGTGGCTTAGCTGGATGGGATGTTACCAGCAACAACCAATCAGAGATAGTCTGTAGAGCTAAAAATGCGAGGAGCTTTTCAAGTTGCAACTCAGGGTTGTTAGGAAGAGTGGAGCGCGTAAAAAAGGCATCTTCTTGCTTTGCATAATGATCAATTAGATATTGATTTAGGTGACAGTGATAGCCATATGGTTGCTTATTGCAGGTAACAGTTGTGGTAAACTACGACATGCCCGTTGAGCCCACAGGCAAACCGGATTTCGAAACATACCTGCACAGGATTGGCCGGACGGGCAGGTTTGGCAAGAGCGGCATTGCAGTGAACTTTATTGATGGTCAGCGGTCGATGGGTATCATGAAGAAAATCGAAGAACACTTTGGAAAGAAAATATTACTTTTGGAGACCAATGATGTTGACGCATTGGAGAAACTAACGTAATATGGTCACTATTTCAAGTGGTATTTCAGCTACAAGACATCGAACTTATTTTAAAACTTTAGAATGTTAAGCTCTAGTACATCATGTGACTAGGAAGATCCATCTATCCATCTCTCTGTTATTTCGATCTCAAACTCGACAGAAGTTTAACTAAATTTGTTTAGGTTTCTTCAATGAGCAATCGTTCATTAGGTTACTTTGAAATTTTTGCAGCGGCGATTTTAAATGCATGCTTTTCATTTGTTACTATTTGAGTTTTGTTCACTGATGGTTCGTTTTGTTCCAAGAATGAAACGATGAAGAAGGATCAGTATTTATGACTGTAGCCCGTTATCTTCGCGATCAACGTGGTGTACTTTGTTGTTAAAACCAAATTTCACAATGTTTATTATCGTTGATAATTAATAAATCTTCCTCCAGCCATATGCACGTTGTGATCTTCCCTTCCTTTCTGGTTCTCGTGTACTCTTAATTTGCGTCGCAGATGCTGTCTAACGTGGGTTACCGCGGGTTATTTACAGGGAAATTTCCGTCTGCAACGCAGGCTAATATACTCTGGGAATTTCTTGCACATTATCTCCGACCGGCTGCCCGGAGTACTGCTCCACTATATTACTAGATGTCCCGGAATCCCCCGTGCCATATAGCGTTCAACCCTAAAGTCTTTGATCAACAGTTTGAAATACTTTATTTTTTCACTGTATACATTGGTGAACTAAACTTTTGTTCTCTATTTCACATGATAAATTATTACTGTACACATTTAGAGTTCATTTTTAACAAAAAAACCATGAATGATTCTGTGCGACGTGCTGCTTGTACCCCTGTCTTAACTTTGTCTTAACTTTACTTGTGAACTTGGCGCCCGTCTCCAAGAGTCGTTACACAACGCGTTTCCCATAATATGGACTGCGTGATTGTGTGACGGCATTGATTTCGTTGTTTCTGGGTCACAAGTGACGCCTAGTCAAGTTTTACTCTAAGAGCCAAGGTGTGTTCCGATTGGTTAACTCAGGAGGTAATTAAGCCCCGTTAGCATAAAAGACATTTTAAAAGACGTGTTTTTTTGAAATTCAACGAATAATTTTACTCTGTTTCTCATAACTGAGCCGGCTTTGCACCCAATTATCGTTGTGTTCTAGCCAGTTGTGATCATTTGTATCTTCTACGAGTGACCAAGTAAACCAGTCCCTGAAAATCAAAATTCAAATGGTGATTTCATTAGGTTAAAGTCTCGATAAAAAAAAATTACACAATGCTGCTGCAAAACATACTATGTGCAAAACTAAGACGTAGTTAAATACCGTCAACACAGATTTGGAAAATTTGCATCTCATCCGAGCATACCTTTGAAACCTTCTTCAGGGGCATTGCTGACTGTTAAAAGGAAGAAAAGTAAAAAAGTTATGATGTAGGATAAACCTCATATGAAAGTTGAGCTGTTAATGTAGCCTGCACTGAATCGAGAGCTTTTTTCTTTTGTGTACTTAGTCCACTCGGTTTCCGAATACTTCACGAAAGTGGCTGACGGAAACCGGGAAACGATTATTTGATCGGAATATTTACAACACTTGGCGGAGCTGGAAGGTTTTTCTGATTAGCGAGATGAAGTAATAAAAACTGGCGAGACAATTTTGGAGGTACGCTATTACTATGTTTGATTGGACAAAAATTGAAAACTACTCCGGTGTTGTTACAAAAGTAAGCCAATAGCAGTGCTTGTTCCGCCATTCGATAACAGTCGTAAACCTGATTCTCATTTTCGATCTCGGAATATTTTCCGACGGCGAATGAACTGACGTGGCAACTTCCGTTCGCAGAGGAAAAGAGTGCGAGTTGCAATCTAGTTTCAGGTAGAAAACAGTTCTAAGGATGATTAAAGAAATGAATAACGAAACGAAATATCAGCGAATATTACATGGCAAGGCGTCCTTAAGTAAATTCGAGCGTTCTGATTGGTTCTTTCTTGGTCGGGATTTTGCCATACGGACCGTTTCGAGAATTGTTTGGTTTGGGAAACTGGCAAATTCAATAGACAAGCCTGACCCGCGTGCCATATAATAAAATTCTTGCTAACTTAGCTTGCTTGAGCCGTACTTTTGAATATTGGCCCTCGGTCGTTTTTGTACGGACCTCGCTGCGCACAGTCCGTACTGAAACGACCTCGGGCCAACATTCCTCGCGCTCGGTTAGTAAGAGGTTAATATCATGGGGAAGTATTAAGTTTGTCAACAAGGAAAATCACGGCGCAAATTTGCTTACCTGGTAGAGCGTCCTGTGAGATGGCTCCCTGTGGTTCATCAATCTGCAACAGAGTTCAACACTTAAAATTAAAAGCTTTAGCAGAACGATCTAGATTTTATCAATTAACATCGTAAATAGCCGAGTACGTAGTTAAACCGAACCCGTGATTTTGATTATGGTGAATTCTCCCCACTTTCTGCCATACTTTATTTGTAGTGCCAGCTCTGACGACAAGTTGTCATTCTCCAAAACTGTTGGGGTACATCAACAGGTATTGGTCACCGAAGAAGTAATGCTCCTCCTCTACTTAGCTTAAGACAAACCTGTAATAGCAATAAAGATCCTGGCTTGATTCCCAAAGTTATAAGCGTCGCGTCATTGTTTGAGAGAGGCACGCCATTTAACGTGAGATGTTGATCCATGGGCATCACAGAAAAACTCTTCATCAGCTGAAAAAAAGGGGCGCGTTACAAGATATCCTGATGGTTTGGCTGCCTCCTATCTCGCATAGCCAAAACGATGACGCGCGCGATGAGAGTACAGGCGTGACAAAATGTCACGCACGACGTTAAATGCACACGAAGATCAGTTTAAGGAACTCAGTCACGGTATTTTGAGTTATTTTGGACACGCAAAAGATTACATTTAAATTGAAGGAAACCTGAAAATAGAAGTTTACTAAGAGAGAAAAACAACACAGAGATGACAATAAACCATAAAGGAAAAAGGATCTTTAAGGATGAAGAAGATTAACACGGATTACAAACGACGAACTAAACTTATCAAGATGGGCAAACCGTGACGCAGATGCAGAAGACATAACAGAAAGAGAGACAATACAAGAAACACCAACAACAACAACATCAACAACATCTTTCATTTAAACACGGTGGGTTTTAAAGCTAATATAGCTTATGGGGCCGTGTAAAAAATGTTAATAAAATTATTAAAAATTATTAAAACTGAATGTAGACAATAAAAAGTAAGATATGTACAATAAAAGATATGAATAGATTTAATAAAAGACGAAATCCCTGTCAATTTGGGGACGGCCCATTTGCGGTGACTCTTCATTAAAGTTCNTTGAAGCCACTGCACACCAATGGCTGATAGTGTGCAGTGGCTCAGCCAATCGGATTACAGCATTTGCGTTAGTATACCAGTAGAATTCTACTAAAAGTCGTTGCTGGACTGTTGCCTAGCAGCAAAACTTTGATTAGTTGTTGGCATCTTTACATAAGGTTTCCCTTTCTTAACCAATCAAAAGCCAAGTTAATCTGGGACTAGGAGTAGTCAAAGTAGTCACCTGCTGTTTAATTACACACATCGTTTTTCTGTGACTGACATGTCTTGTACTCTAAGCGCTCCCCAATCTTCTTATGACTGTATGTTGATCATAGAAAACATGAGAGTTCTAACCATGATCAACTTACCCGAAGTTACTGGCATGTCCTGATATAGCTTTCTTATCTCAGCTTGCCTTGTCTTTCCTTTGGAGACCAACTTTGCCTTTAAGTCAAACACAGAGTGTATGCATTATTTCACAGCTTTAACCCACCAGCTGAGTGCTGCCAAACCCAGGCCTTCAAATCTGAGGTTTAATACACCTTTTAGCCAATGAGATCAACATACACAGTTACATTGCACACAGCTCAAAATAACCTTGAAATCCATCTTGCCCTTCGAACAAGTAGCTCTAAAATGTTGTTTGCCCTGGGCAAGTCTTAGTTAACTTTCTTTTTACTTACTTGGTAGAAAACTTGCTTGGGCCTTTGCCCATTGGGCAAATGAGAATGAAAACTTACTTGCCTGGCAGGAAAATCTACTTGTCTCAGACGACCAGATGGCACTTTTTTCAAGCCCTGATTATACACATATCATGCCCTTACCCGAAATGCTTTGACTTGCGTAACCCAATGTTCAAACCGACTATTGTCAGTTGCTACCAGCTCTAGCACATGAGACGGAACTTCAACATCATCATCCTCACTCCCTTTAATAACAAAGGCAAAGTTTGCATTGAGAAACTTAACCTGTCCAGAGGGTGAATATCTGTTATTCAAAGCATACATCATTTACATTAAGGGTGGGTTGGCCCAAGATTTGTCCAAATGCTCAACCAGGAATTTCTTTAGATTAGTTTTCAACTGACAACAATAGGGACAGAAAAATGAGAAAGAAGTTGTGGTTTACCTTCCCCCTACCCCCCACCCCTTTGCAAGTGCAGTGTATAAATTATACCAGAGGCAATTAGGGAATATAATTTTTTAGTGATTCAGCTTTACAGACTAGCTATCAAAACTTTTGTCTTGGTCAAATTTGCCCTTAAAATTAGAGCGAAAACTATCAAATGCTCCCTTACCAACACCCTTATGTCCTTGGAGGGTGTACACCAACGTGTAGGCATTCTTGGACACATGGTAACCTTTTGCACATTTGGGTCTTTTAGCCGGCTTAATGGTGGTATCTGGAACAGATAAAAGGAGCATGGACATAACACAGCGGTATTATACAGGTCTGTAAACTATCTTAGTCTACTAAAATATCTGGAGGTAACTAATGTTGGAAAGATTTAATTTTTTTATTATATCAAATGAAATAAGCAATCTATGCAATGGTGGCATGTTTGAGGAACATGCATACAAGTGCTTCCACACCAGACTCCTCCCCACTGGATCAATTAACTTGCCGACTCACTCTTTGATCACATGTGAGTAAAGAAAGCTTAAGAAAAGAAATAAGCTTGACAATAACTTAATAAAGGGTGCATAACCTTCATAAAGAGGACGAGAGGGAGGGGGTTACATACCCGCAGAATCTTCATCTTGCGACAGTTTTAACTTTCCCTGCATCTTAACAATGTCCTCATCATTAAACTTGTACCATGAGCCTGACTGAAAAAAGAAAAAACAT